GCACCAATGATCACCGGACAGTTTTAAAGAAATTTGTTGAAAGGTCCAAAGAAGCCAGACAGAATCGAGCCGGTTCACAAACGATGTAGTTTTTTGAGTCTTGTCCGCAGGAGGGATCGCGATAAAACCGAAGCTAGCTGATTTGAGTATAGTACTTCTTAACTTGCACTTGTATTCTTTGAGATTTTTTTTTAATTTTTTCTCGAGCGGTTGAAGTTTTGAAATCTCTGCGGATTAGCTCGTTAGGCACGAACCAGGGTGCCGTCTACTAAACAGTATCTTAGCTTGGAAACATTCAATTACTTGGATGTTCGAGTTAGGATGTCTCCGGAGCTGGCATTCATACGTCTATACGAGCTGTAGAATTGCCTTGTAGATCAGGATCTTGTTTTTCACGATAGGATCGAGTTACGACCCATCAACCAGTAAAAGATACACAGCTTAAGACCCAACTGCTTTCTTTTGTTCAAATGTATGCTCTTCGCGTCAGTTAGCAATCTAGATGCAGCCCCAGGTATTTGCCTTGATCTTTCACCGGAATCAAGCTACGGTAAAATAACACCTGAGGGCACCTCTCTCTTCTGAGGGTGAACGTGATGTGAGCAGATGTGACTCTAATTACCTTAACCCATTAACGCGCAAAAGTGCAATTTTGTGCATGAATTTTCCGTTGTAAAAAAATTATAGATAAAGTTAAAATATTTTCTTGAAAATCCATACCCAGTGGTTTTAGGGTATGCTCTTTCAGTATCCGGTGTTATTTTTGCGATAAATAAACATTATCATCGTTTATTTTGCCATTAAAAACAAAAAACGTGATTTTTTGACTCAAAATTTTTTTTCAAAGTCGATTTTCTACCTTGCCTTGCCTTCGGAGGGTTCCCATAACACCAGAAATCGTGCACTTTTTCTCTGAACCTTCAAAAAATGCGCTGCCGCGATTTTTATCTTGCCCCTATATTTCTAAAATGGCGAATTTATACCGAGCAGCGATATAAAAATTGCCTTATTTTTTATTTGTAAATTATTGACTTTATAAAAGAAAGTCATACAATGAAAAGTGTTCAAATTTGTTCAAAGAATACATGTGAATTTTTTTTTAAATTTTTTAATAATTTTTTCAGATTTTTTCAGATTTTTTTTGGAACATTTTGGATTTTTTCGACAGGCCGGGAAATGGTCGTATTTTGCAAAATTTTCAAAGTGGTCTGAAAAATTCTGAAAAAATTCACACGTATTCTCTAAACGATTTCAAATAAGTTTTTACACTCCAAATTGAACTTTTGAGTTCATATTTAGCGCATGTAAAATAGGTTCTGAGTAAAAAATGAGTGAATTTTTATACTGCTGCTCGGTATAAATTCGCCATTTTAGAAATATAGGGGCAAGATAAAAATGGCGGCAGCGCATTTTTTGAAGGTTCAGAGAAAAAGTGCACGATTTCTGGTGTTATGGGAACCCTCCGAAGGCAAGGCAAGGTAGAAAATCGACTTTGAAAAAAAATTTTGAGTCAAAAAATCACGTTTTTTGTTTTTAATGGCAAAATAAACGATGATAATGTTTATTTATCGCAAAAATAACACCGGATACTGAAAGAGCATACCCAAAAACCCCTGGGTGTGGATTTTCAAGAAAATATTTTAACTTTATCTATAATTTTTTTACAACGGAAAATTCATGCACAAAATTGCACTTTTGCGCGTTAATGGGTTAATCTGCCATTTATTAAGCTATTTTTAACTTTATTTAGGTATATTTTAATTTTTTGAGAGACTACTATGGCCTTCTAGTGCGCCGTTAGTGTTTACGACATTTTTAATGAAATTTATCGGTAATGGAATTACTTTTAGCTCAAAATGGTTCTCTCTCTAAAACTTTCACAGTAAATAAAAAATGCTGCAAATTTAATGACAAAGAGCTTCCTGATAAAAAAAAATTATTGTTTCTATTTTATTTGTAAATGCTACTCAAACAATTTTTTAAACTTGAATCTTATAAAAAAACTAAAATTTCCAAAAAGTAATAATAAAAATATTTTTTTCTTTTTCGTGATGTACTTTTTAAAATAATTAATGAATCTCAACGTTTTTGATAAAAAGCTTGGCTAGTCATCTTTCAGGCTATTGATCCTTTTTGATGAATAAGAAATCCTATCTTGCAAAAAAAAATTCCGAAAAGTGAAGACGAAGCTTTTGATTTGAAAATAGTCCTAAAAGATACTTTCAACACTGCCAAATATTTCCCATTAAGTAACATCATGTCTCTCAAGCCCTTGACCACGTAAAATTGCGAATCTCAACTCAAAAATGAGCTAAACTAACAAGGAGACCTTCTCACCTTAGGGTTACGGATCTTTACCAAAATTTTTTCGGGGTCTCCAGGAACCTAATAATAAAGCTCCCTATGCTTAGTTTTATTGAATGGTCCTTAGGGCCCATTTCAAAAGGGATTTTTTATTTCAATTAAAAATCTTTGAGATTTTATAATTCAAGTTAGCAGCACTTAAACAAAAAATGCACTGATCAAAAGTTTTGAAATTTTTCAAAGAATCTGTCTAAATTTTTTTAGAATTTTTCGAATAGTCCATTACCTTATTTCAGAGACCCTAATTTGATGCTTTTTCTTTCCAAATTCCGAAACCTCTAAAAAAGTGCAACGGACGATTCGGAAAGTCCTGAAAAAATCCAGACAGATTCTTTGAAAAATTTCAAAACTTTGGATCGGTGAATTTTTTTGTTTAACTGCTGCTAACTTGAAATATAAAATCTCAAAGATTTTTAATTGAAATAGAAAATCCCTTTTGAAATGGGCCCTAAGGATCAATGAGAATAAGCATAGGGAGCTGTTACGTTCCGTAACTATCTCCGTGTTATTTAAAAAAAAAACAAAAAAGAGAAAAAAAACCGCTGCCAATTTATTGGCAAAGAGCTTCCTCATAAAAAATTATATTAACAAAACGCATTGGTTATTAACAAAAAAATTCGTATTCTTGAATTTTGATTCACTGTCTAGTGTCCTAAGTACTAGTATATCACGACCATCAGGACCATCATTTTATCAAAAATGATAAAATGATTATTCTTGAATGTCATTATATAATTCAAGTTCAATCAAGTCAGTTTCCTCGTACGCGGTGCTTTTTTGGAATGTAATCCCCGCGTATACGGAGGGAATACTGTACGTGTTTCTTAAATAACTATTTCTAAGATTTGTTGCGCCCTTTAGGTCGAATGGAAGGTACCATTTATAGTACTTAAAAGGCCTCAAATCGAGTTGATTTTAGCCGAACGTAAATTTAAAAATGAAGTTTTATAGTAATTTCTCACAATTGATGTAGTACTAAACCACCTTTAAGAGCACGCGAAAAATTGCGAATAAGCGAACCCATAAGCTGCGAACAGAGAGGGAGGGTCTATATTTGCGGAGTGCGTCTGGAGGGAAGGGATAGTCGAAGCGATGGTCGCGCTCGCCGTGGCGAAGTTCACGGAGTATAGAGTTTATATGGAGAATAATGGAATAATTACTCAAAACAAATAAGAAAGGTCAATTTGGTGTTTTTTTTGTAATTTAATAATAAATTGATTATTTATTTGAGACTTCTATTAACTAAAAACATCATACAAGTAAGTAAAAATATATAAAAGTGTGTTATGTTTACTTTATTGTAAAGGTTAAGTTGCACCAGTTGTTTTGACACGGAACAGAATTTATTATTCAGCTTGATATGAGTCAAAAAACATGGTTTTTCTCTAATTTTCCTCAATTCTTGACACAAATCTAGCTGAATAATAAAGTCTGTTTGTCTGCCGATAGCCAAAATTATCAGAAGTTGTATTTTGATGTATCGATGAACATATTACAATGTGACAGTGACATAATTATTGCCTGAAAATATAATTTTTATGGGTTGTGAAGTTGCAAGTATGATTTTTAAGTACAAATTTGAATTTTACATCAAATGTTACATTAAAAACCATGATTCAACAATTTTTTCATATTAACCCCAGAAAATCAGAATTGCAAAATTATTAGACTCAGAGTTTGGACAGCTGTACATGTCAAAGCTTGTTTACAATGCGTGTGTCAAAACAACTGGTGCAACTTAACCTTTACAATAGAGAAAACATAACACACTTTTATATATTTTTACTTACTTGTATGATGACTTTAGTTGATAGAAGTCTCAAATAAATAATCAATTTATTATTTAAGTACGAAAAAACACCAAATTGACCTTTCTTATTTGTTTTGAGTAATTATTCCATTATTCTCCATATAAACTCTGTACTCCGTGAACTTCCAGAAGTTCCAATAGTTGAAAATCATAGATGGCGCGTAAGTCACGCACACCGGGAATAGGGTAAATACAAATAAGCGAATCCTGCGAATACGGAGACCACGAATATGGATCGTCTACTGTATAATGATTGTCTGCGTGAGGATGTCCAAAGCGTAAGCCGCACGGCTTTGTATGTGTGTGCTGCTCCAACATTCGCCGTCGCGACTTATTGTGAGCAAGCACGCTCAGTTTGGCTGTGATGTTGAGAGAGGAAACAGCTCACCCACGAGTATAACCTCTGAGTTCTACAAAGGGCATCTATAATTTAATAAAGATCAAAGTTGTTGTTATTTTTCAGATGAAATTGGATATTGCAGTTTTAAAGTCTTTCACTTACGCTTCCTTTCCACCACCTTACTCTGCAATTAATAAGCTCATACTTATGTCGACATCCGAGTCAAATTCAATAGGAGTAGCCCGAGAATATAACAATGATATAATCATAAATAATTTAATATAATAATTAAAAATTAAAGTTCGTTGCAATAATAAATAGTTAAAGTTTTCGACAGTGCCTGAAGGAAAAATTTCACATAATTTTCACAGAGTGCATGTTATTATTCTTTGGCTGCGGACGTGTATGAACTTAAAGATTTGGGATTTATTTTGTATGTAATATGTTTAGATCAATTAATAAAATAATTATATAATCATTACTTACACTCTGCTTCTTGTATGACGTCCATTGGTAATCGAGTTGGGCCGCAAAATAATGCTACAGTGATAGAATTAACTAATGTTACTGTTTTGGCGAGACAGAGACGTCCAGATCGACTTAATTCTTCATAAATTATCCATTCACAAGGTAAAGAGCTGACGAGTTTAGCATCTATTTTATTGCAGGTCTTCGAAAAATCTTTCAATGTGGAGGATGGATGAAAGTTTACTTCAACTTCTTTTCTGAAAAGTTATATTTTAAAAACTATTTAATCATTTCTATGAATTTATTGTTAAATTAGGAGAATTCATGTAAGTAAAGAATATGTTTCTGACTTCTTCCTACACAAAGATTTGTGATATACTCTAAAACGAGTTTTTGAACCAATTTTCGTAAAACAATATGGTTTACACAGTTGTAAACTAGCCTGAATGTATGTACTATACGTACGTGTGTGCGTTTTTCTTTATTGAGGAAAGAAATCCATTTACGGATTCAATATGCGATGGTTGCATAGATATGTCGGACTCGAGTAGTGCACTAAAAATAAGTGTCAGAAATGAATGGAAAAAAAACAGTGAGTTTAATTATATAATAATTTTTATGCAATAGTATGACGAAAAATGTCTTTTTTCGCACATTTTTTAGTGCGCAAAAAGCGTTTTTGGACATTTGTGTGCTGTAAAATACCTCATTTTGGACACGGGTGTGCGGTAAAACGCCACATTTAAATGAAAGTATTTTTCGTCTCCTATTGCATAAAATTTTGTATGCAACACGTGCCCAGCTTTTTGCGCACAGTGTGCAGAAAAAACACCCACTCGTGCCGGCATAGCCGGCACTCGTGTCTTTTTCCGCACACTCGCACCCAAAAACGCCTTTTGGGCACTTGTTACATAAATAACTATTTTATGCAATAGTATAGCAAAAAATGCGTTTTTGGACACTGGAGTGCAGTAAAATTTCTTGTATTTTGTGAAATATCATGCTTCTTATTTATGCACTTTTGCATTCTATGACATAAATTTTTGTATTCAACACATGCCCAGCTTTTTCCGCACAGAGTGCGGGAAATTCGGGAGTTTTCCCGGTGGGCCGTTATCAAAATGACCGCTCCAAAAAGTATTTTTGGACTGTTTCAGTCATGCATATATAGGTCAGACTGGGATTCGGGAAAATCGGCTGTAAAATATTTACAATAATTGCTAAAGGTAGTTGAATTACGTTAATGTAGATAATATAGTAGTTAATTCTATTATCAAGAAGAAAATGTAATTGCAGAAAATGTATTGACCAATAGAAAAATAATTGAAAGCGTTATTGACATGATAAACTTATTGGTAATTGTTGTTATATATTGGGTATTATCATTGAATTTTCGTTAAATCTTCAATCATAAAATTTTGAATTTTCAGGAAAATGTCAAACAAATTATAGGGGGAATAAGAACGAAACTGCTCACAGTTTGAAAAATATCGACACGAATGGTAATTTTTTAGAAATTTTATTGCTTGTGTTAAAGCATAGTCTGCTACTCAAAATTCATATTGAAAATTGCATCGAGATAGGTGAAGTTAAAAAGCATCCAAACCAACTGGCAAAATAGGACGAGGTAATTTCGTTACAATGATCTCAAAAACTACAATAAATAACATTTTTAGTGCAATAGTGGAATTAATGTAGTTACTCATTGCCAAACAAATTAATTCATCAGAAATGTAAACGCAAGATTTAATAGTTCAAGATCAATGCTCGGCCGTCATACGGTACATGTACAAAGATCAATCTTGCGAAGGATTATTAAGTATTATTTGATGTAAAGATTTGTCGGGTATAGGTCTAAAAAAACTTGTGATGGAAGGGCTCAAATCAAATAATATCGACGTTAAAATGGTATCAGAAGCTCTACCGATGGGGCATCTAACATAATAGAATGGAGCAAAGGATTTCGTGCTTGGCTCTCTGAAGAAGTCCTTGAATCTATACATGTATAGTGTTACGCGCATGTACTAAATTTAGTGATATCCGATACACTTAGCGACTCAAAATAATTGTGCATCTCTTTTCGGACTTTTGAATAAAATTGCTGTTTTTTCAAGGACCCATGCGTCCTAATGGAAGTGTAGTAGTCAGTTTTATCAGATTCTGATAAAGGGAAATTAAATTTTATTGGTGAAAAGATGGCGGGGAAAGATGCGGCATGGGTAAAAATTTTCAGCAGCATTTATTTTGCGCTCAATTTTCAAAGAACTACTTATCGAACTATTTACAAACAAATGGATTGGATATTTTAAAGGCCTACCAAATTGTTGAATTAATAATTACAAATATATAGAAAATCTGTGAAAAGTTTTCAGAAATCCAACAACAATCAGATTAATTAATCGAACGCGTAAACGAGTTACTGTTTATGGGGAACGTCCAAAAATTCCTTTGCTCGATGAAACTTCAAATTTATTAGTTTTAGTTACGGAAGACGCAAAAGTGATAGTTTCCATCAGAATTCTCTGAAAAGTGTTAGTTTTTGACAGAGATTGACTTACAATGTTAGTTTTCCTAAGAGTAATAAAAGTGTTAGTTTTTGTAAGCAGCGTCGAAATTTTAATTGTGAAAAATTTCCTGAAACCAGGATAAATAAAATAAAATACTTGGACGGAGAACAATCTCAAGATTATTTATTTTCAAATGCTAAAGATAAATATCGAGTCAACATATTTTACAAAATAATAGATAATGCAATATCTGCTATAAACGAGCGGTTCGACATGTTAAATAATGCCTTTTATGCAAGTCTCAGTTTATTAGATCTTCGCCATTTCAAAAAAAAATTGTAATAAAGAATTGAGTCCTCAAGTATTCCAAGTTCTTTAGTATTCGAAACGTTTTAGCGAAAAAATTGGAATTTTTTTCAAAACAAAAAGACTTCAAAATAACTGCCCAAAGTTTGAGTGGAGAACTCTTAAAATTAGCTCAAACTTGATGACTCAAATGAAGAAGACGAACAGCAGCTAAATATAGAAAAAAAACCGCTGCCAATATATTGGCAAGTAGCTTCCTCATACTTTTTTTTAACTTAAAAATAATTTGGAAATATTAATATAATCATTTCTAATTTGTTCACAAAACAGTTTCAATCATAAATTATTTCTGTTGTGGAATCAATTACCAACGTTCTTCTATTCTCTTTGATATATAATTTTTATCGAATTATTTTCACGATGACGTAACAATTAAAGTAGTTCCCCAAAAAAAAAAATAATTTTCATACCAGCGGCCCGAAAGTGACTACTTCCTTGCCGCTGCTCAAAGCGGAAAGAGCGATTTTCGAGCCACTGTGTATGAACAATAGTATACAGGCCGATGCCGCGAAAAAAGAAAGCCCCAGAGCACGTGTTTATCGGCCTCGGTTTTGCCACGGACACTAATTACACGTACTCTGGGACTTTTTTGTTTTTCGCGGGTTATTGGAAATATTAATATCACCTTTTCTAATTTTTTCACAAAACAGTTTCAATCATAAATTATTTCTCAACCAAACGATACGAAAAAGAAAGAAAAAAAAAATTTTTTCTTCTTTATCACTAAGTCAAACTTTTTGGCTTCATCCTTAACACAAAACTAAGAAAAAAAATCATAAAAACCAAATTTCATTTTAAAAACTCAACTTTTTAAACTTACGGTGAATTTTTACAGTTTTTATCTTAAATCAAATGTTAAAAGCTCTTCCTTAAATAAAGTATTACTTTTATTAAAAAAAAACAGTTTGTTTTAGAACAAATATGACAAAACTAAAAAAACATGAAAAAAAAATTTTTTTTTCTTGAAAATCCCTCATAACTTTTTAAATACTCAACGCAGAACTAAAAATGATGTTTTCGCTTCTTCCCTACATCAAAACGAATAAAATAAGACATCTACACTAAGGATACGAACTACCATCATCGAGATATCACTGCGCACATCCCAACACACGCACACACACACACACACACACAATCGGCCTCCTTGGCTCAGTGGGTATAGTTCTTGCCTGCTGATACAAGGTACGCCGTAGGGCGTGGGTTCGATCCCCACCGGATGAATTTTCGAGGTTCGTTTTTTCGCCTGGTGTGGTCGAGCCTGTGCCTGAGGTGGAGCGGGTACCACTCAAAAAGAAGACCCGGGCTATGTCATCAGCCTCCGAAGCGGTAAAAAACCCCGATCACTGTGCGAGCTGGAAGCGATAGGAAAACCATAAGTAGGAGCCCGAGGCGAGGACTCACAAGGCTGGCAATAGATGGAGCACACCACTCCCATGATGAAGTCGGAAGCGAGAACCACACACACAAGAGGGCGCCGGATGNGTTTCGATAGCTTTCGCCGCGTCTTTACGGCGTGTCTCAGGGAGGGGTGCTTCCCCGCGCGTTGGAAACGGCAAAGGCTCGTCCTGATGCTAAAACCAGGCAAGCCTGCCGCCGAACCATCATCGTACCGCCCGCTATGTATGTTAGACACAGCGGGTAAAATCCTCGAAAGGATCATGGTTGGTCGCCTGGAGGCCCACACTGAAGGGCCTGCTGGCCTAGCAGACTCGCAGTTCGGCTTCCGTAAGAGGCGATCAACTGTTGATGCCATACAGACCGTTCTCAGCACTGCACGACTAGCCATCAGTGGCAAACGATGGCATCGGGGCACCAAGAAGTACTGTGCCATCATCACCTTAGACGTGAAGAACGCCTTCAACTCAGCGCGGTGGGACAAAATTCTCACCGCCCTGAGCCAAATGGAGGTCCCGGCTTATCTGCAGCGGATGGTTTTCAACTACTTCCGCGGCAGAGTGTTGGAGTTCACCACGGATGATGGGGCAGAGACTTACGAAGTTACGGCTGGCGTGCCACAGGGATCCGTTCTTGGCCCCATTCTTTGGAATGTCATGTACGATAGGATCCTAAGGCTCGAGCTACCGAGGTCCGCAAAAATCGTCGGATTTGCAGACGACATTGCAATCACGGTGGTGGCCAAGCACTTAGACCTCGTCAAGTATTACTGAAACGAGACTATACGTCTAGTGCGAGCAGCCCTGACTGAACTGGGGCTACAGACCGCTGACCAGAAAACCAGAGCTACGCCCGTCAGGCGGTCTCGATTCATCGTCGTGCCTGCCTGTGAGTGATCTGCGGTTTTTGCAGCATCTCACACGAGGCCACATACGTTCTCGCAAGCATACCACCGCTCACACTACTTATCGACGAACGCTCGAGGCTGTACTTACGTCGCCTCGAAAACGTCGAAAGTGAAGAACGGGCCAAGACGATCGAGGAATGGCAGGCCCAATGAACCTGCTCGAGGAAGGGTCGGTGGACACACCGACTCATCCCGAACATCATCCCGTGGATTGAGAGGAGGCACGGAGAGGTGAATTACCACCTCACGCAACTCCTGACCGGTCACGGCTGCTTCAGGTCATACCTGTGTCGGACAAACAACGACACAGGTGACCAGTGCCCGGTATGTCCGGAGGCGGTGGAGGATGTCGAACACGTCATTTTACGCTGCCCTCGATTCACGGAGGAAAGAGAGGTGCTCCACCACCTCTTTGGGGGTCCCCTGCTGGAGGCGGAATCCAACTGGCTGGCTGTGTCCGCCTTCGCTCAATCGGTCATGACAAGACTGAGGAGCGAAGAGAGGGCAAGAAGAAGATGACCGGATGATGCGGTGAGAAAAAGACGATGAAGAAACGAAGATAACTCCTCAGAAGTGAGCACACAGCTCGAGCCTCCCCCGCGAAGTAATACCTAAAGGTGGTCCTGCGGGGAAGAAAAGGGGCAGGAGATAAGGATGGGTTTTAGTCGGTATTAGTAGGGAGGCACATTACACGCCCACACAACATTTGTACACAAACACAGTACACTACTCGAGTCCGACATATCCGTGCGACACACGAGAGTCGCACGTTGAATCCGTAAAAGGATTTCCCTCCTTCCCAAAAAAAAAAAAAAAAACACACATAAAGACATGTGTCAGCAATTCGATTTAGTTTAAGAATATATATGTAAAAGTACTCTACGATTATTAGTTATGAAAGTCGAAAATCGGTCCGTCACAAAGCTTCCTCTATGAGGAAGCAATTATAAAAAGAAAATAAGCATGAATCATGTAAAAATTTGTGTATGTTCATATCGTCTGTTACAAAAATATCAATTATTAACAGGTGCATTCCCACATATAAAATTAGCCTGTAGATACATGTTAACATTATCTTTTTGCCAAATTGCCTGTGAAAGAATTTTTAAGTATTTGAAAAATATTAAAACGAAGCTCAGAAGTAGCATGAACCGAGAACAATCAGAAACGCTCATACTTATGGCACTAGAGAATGATATTTTACAGCAAATTCACACGGATGACATTATCAATGAGTTAGCTGATAAAAGTAATGTGATGAAAAAAATTATTAGTATTATTATTATCTCATGTTTAATTTGAATTTTTTTTATCGATAAATTATTTGTGAAATGAAGAATTTTTAATAAAAATCAATGGGTGTTAAATTATCATGAACTCAGCCGGACTGGACTTAGAGAATTTTGGAAAATTTCCGGTGGGCCTCTCTTCAAAAAGGCTGGTTTTGTAAGTAAACTGGGCCTCATTTACTAAACTCCCGACCTGCCAATAGAGTCGGGTGCGGATCGCCGGAAGACACGACGCGTGTAGCAAGCCCTCGTGGGCAGTAAGTTATAAATTACCGATTAGTCTTAAGAAATAAAGTATTGAGTTTATTGAAAGTCGCTCGAATTTTTTATCAAGCTCTATAAAACCTTTCCAGGTATCGAAGGCCCAGCATAGAGTGACGGGATCAACAGCAGCGGGCCAAACTTGGCGAGAGGTAAAAAGTGTTTCAGCGGCAACGTGCTGCAGGGCGAAATAAGAGGCTCAGTAATTGCACGTCGTTATTTATTTACAAGAAAACCCAGGTAAACGCGGTTAATTCATTCCACAAAAGTACCGCGGATACGGAAGCATTGATTCTCATGTAAAAAGGGGGGTCACGTTCCAGAGCATCGACAAATTTAGAGATAAAAGACAAGTTATATACAGACAAGTTATATATTTCCTCGAATATACAACCCTGCATGTAGCATATATCGATATATCGATCGAGCACTTTTTTTCTCAATTGTTAATGAACAATTAGCCTCTAAATTTCGTAGCCTATGCATAGTATAGATTTAGTTCCCGAGTGCTGGTCTTTTCAACAAAGAGGAATTTGGAGATCTTAAGCCGAAGTGAAATGTGGTTTCTTGACGGAACTGATCAGTACAATTCCGTTATAAGGAACGAGCCAACTACGAATAACGCTAGTGAGGGGTGGCACAATCGTTTTTTTTATTAGTTGGTAAGAGCCATCCAGATCTCTACTCCCTCATACGCGAATTCCAAAAGGGGCAAGGAGATACCGAGATTGGTTTGATTATTGAGCAACCAGCGAAGGATAAAATCAGCCCCAAAGAAGAAGTGGGTTGATGTACAACATCGTTTAAGAGCTTTGGTCGAAACTTACGACACGTATGGTTTACCACGTGTGCTCGATTACTTGCACTTGATACGCGAAAACATTTCTCTAGATTAATTATGTATTGTAATATAAAACAATAAAATAAAATTAAAAAAAAATTCGGGGGTTGTGCTTTCGGGGAAATTATCATTCGGGGAAATGGATTCGGGGAAATGGATTCGGGGAAATGACCGTGAATCCAGGAAATTTATTAAAATTTCAAAATCTTTTATGAAGTTTTCTAGTCATAATTGGGTGGAAATTGAGTACTCGCAAAAATTTTACAATTTTAGAAATCGATACTAGGTTTAACGGTTCAAAGTACTTCGGAGGGTTTACACATCGGCTTTTTATCTTTTTTCATGTACCGTTCATTAAAATTTCCTTGACATCTTCGGCTGTTCAGCCTGATGTAAGGCGCGTAAGGTCGGTAACGTTCGACTCATTAATGTTGGAACGGTACAAGTTACAAGGGAAAAGGGTAAATAATAATTGCGTTGGTCGCGCTAGCGCGACCGGGTCCGAGTTACCTAGAAATGGAAATAAGAGGGGAAGGCAAACAAAGTGAAACGAATGAATTGAATGAAATAGATAAGATAGATTATTATTGACAATAAAAGGTGATTTACAGCCGTGCTCAGGACGGCGAATAGGTGCAGTACTACGGCACGCGCGAGTGTTCGCTTAAACCAGCGAAGGCGAGTTGCAATGCGATGAGAGAGAGAGAGAGAGAGAGAGATCGATGCGAAAACTGGCACTTAAACGTAGTTGCCTCCGATTGTGACTCCGCGGCCCATCCACGACGCTGGATTGCAGGGCGCGCACACACACACACTCGCTTGCAATGCACTCGTTGCACTCGTTTTACTCACGCGGCGCGATAAAGTTTACTACTTCTGACCAGCACCGAGAATTCATAGTAGAAAAAAATGTTTGCATTGATTTTTTACCTAAAAAACCATAATTGTACATATAAATATCGATTGCAATGCTTATGGTATATCTTATTGATTATGGATTTAAAAAATGTGCTTATTTTGCTCAAAACCAATCAATATTACAATAAATAACAAATTTTTTAATACCTGACGATAATAATAACCAATTTTAATTTAATTATAAATTGTTCCGATTCAAAATGATTGATTAGGTAAGTGTTTTTCACCTTTTATTTTGCTTTGAATAACAATCCAAATTATAAGATGAGTCCATATTTAGTGATAAGTGTTGCTTAAAGGGACATTCCCATTGAAATTTTTAAAAAAAAATTATTTTTTTAATATTTCTTTAAAGAAAACTATAAATTTTATTTATTCCAGACCTTTTGGGAATTGTTCCTTACAAATGAAACTACAAAAAAAATGTTTATGGGACTTAACTTAACTTACACTACACTTCTATCTTAGCCAAAGGTCCGAGAAAATAAACCCCCATACAGACATTTGTTGGTAATTCACTGTAGTTTCCAAATATGTAAACCAAATTGTCCTTCGACGCCTGGTTCCAAATCTCCTATTCAAGCCTATCACAGTACTTCCTCTATTAGGGAGCAATATCAGTCCGATCCTCATGTTTCATACGTCGTTTTAATCGTTACAATTTTCTCTAGAACACAAGCCTCTAAAAAGCTAATATTTTCAATTTTTACTATTTTGGCACGAGTTGTTCTGAAAAATGCTGTTTTCAGGGTGAATACACCCTTATAAAAAAAAATTGAAAATGAATTTTTTAATCTTTTAGAGGTTTGTGTTCTAGAGAAAGTTGTAACGATTAAAAAGAGATATTAAACATAAAGATCGGACTTATAGTTTTGTCTCCATCGCTGACAAGAGCTGAAATAAAGTGGTTTCGAGAAAAACGCGTCCGAAGTTTTGGTCTGGACATATCGAGCACGCTAGCCGCTTAGCGTTATCGGGCATAACTTTTTTTCCTGTATGACTTTTGTTCTAAAATTTTAACAGGGTATTTTTATGATGTTAAAGAACTTTTTAACGTAAAAGAAATTATCGATTTTTTTTTATTTTCAATGAGAATGTCCCCTTAAATTCATTCTGTGGAACTCCCAGTAGATTAGTAATTAGAAATCCCAAACGCAGGCTGTGATTACGAAAACCAAAATGCAGACTGTGATTTTGAATTAACGAGGTTTTACTGCATAAATATTTAAAATTATTTATAAATATGTGTAAATAAAAAATCGATTCGGCAGATATGAATGAGGCAGATTTCTGCCTCTTTCAACCTATGACATTTTCTTAGTTAATTGAAAATCATAATTAGCTTTGCAAGCCAAGCAGCATTTGCTTGGGACCCGGATAAACATTGCTCGACAACAGGTTGCTTAGGCTATGAAGTAGTGGCTGCTTGGGATGTCATCAGTTGTTGATTTCATTCTTTTTCAGTGAATTTGCTGTGTTCTGAATAACGTGAGGCTAAAATCAATACTCGTTAGAGTACTTACATAAACGAATACGTTTGCGTTTAAAAATATTAGCCAGCGTATTTATCACAATAAGCGGGGGTCACTTTTCATAAAAATTGATTTAAACGAAGTAATATTTGAAAAAATACTTACTGAGATCGAAGTTGCGAATGCTGGCGATCTACTCTCAATAAATTTGGGTACATGCCAGCGGTCAAAGCTGCTTTTACAACTGCCCAATTTTCAGAATTAGAATTCAAGTCTCGAATGTCTCCAGGTCCTCTTGCTTTAACAAAACCTGAAGCTCGTAATTGTCCCAACAATTGAGTTCTAGTTCCAACAATCATTTCCATTACAGCAGCAGAAACGAAATGTTTTTCACAGAACAATTTTTCCCATCCATTAGCTCTTGCATTTTGCCAAACTTGAAAAGCTCTCAAAAGAGCCATATGATCAGAATATGACGAAGCAGCAAATTCTTTACGTGCAGACAAAGCAGCTTGTTTCTGGGACGATGAAGTAGGTATAATAAATGGATCTCTGAAACACATATTTAACAAATTATTTTACGAAATAATGAGATGACAAAAGTGGACAAGAGAATTTTAAAATTTTAGACTTTTAAGTTCAAGCTTAAATTGAACATATAGAACACGCTTGTTCTAAATAATTCATCGAACATGATAATAACAAGGAGACCTTCTCACCTTCGGAGAACCAAATGACTTGAAAAATTTTTTGGGTTCACTTAGACATGAAAAATAAGAGTCCAGTAGTTTGTTTGATCACATAATCATTGAGGCGGTAAAAATATCATTTGTGATTTTATGCATATTTTAATAAAAAATATCATTATCGAGGAGCGCTCGAATGGTAAGTATGGTAGATAAGCTACGTCACTTCACGCTCCTGATATAAATGAGAATCGCGTTCCGGGACCCGCGAAAATGACCCAACGTTATCATTTCAACGTGCCTGTGCTGAAAGATGACGTTTCGCTTTGAAGAGAAGAAAGATGACACTTCGCGCACCAAGCAAAAAGAAGCCGCTTCAGCGCTCAGAGCAGACGGATGCCACTTTACGCTCCATGCTGAAAGATGCCGCTCCGGCGCAGCTTTATGCCAGTTCAGCGCTTAATTCTGCTACATGGTATTTCTGCGTTTGAAGCGACAGCATTTCACTGATGCAAATAGTGCGTTTGAGATTACAATCTTACAGATTACAAATTATCTATCTTATATTTTACACGACTGAAAATTCCTTAGAAATTTCGGGATTATTTCGTAAAAGTATACGATCGTCAATAATTTTAAATTACTAACGTTTATGAGCAACGTCTGAGTTTAGTTTAGCGTTATTGAGTTAAAATTAGAAAAAAACTTAGGTTGATTCAGTTACTTTCACTAACCTATAAATACAATAGTAAGAAATCACAAGTACGAAATAGGACTGAATTAAAGAATGTACTGATAAGAAGTCACGTTAGCATGGTGTCGCTTCAAACGCAGAAATACCATGCTGCAGAACAGAGCGTCGAAGCAGCATCTTTCAGCTCGGAACGCGAAATGGCATCTTTCTGCTCTGCTCTGCGAAGCGTCATCTTTCAGCACTGGCACGTTGATTTGAAATCTATAAAAGATACGATCATTTTGACTCGGTAAATCGATTCCTTGGAGAAAGTGACAAAAATAGGGTATTCATAGTCCCTGAAAAGCACAATATTAACTAAATATGAAGGATAAAAGAAAATATCCCGGACGAAAAAACGGCCTCACGAGATTTCACGATATCTTACGGCCAATTTCATATAATCGATTTGGTTTATAAATAAGTGAGGCTAAATAAATGCATAAACGCTGCACATCAAGCCGATATGCATGTGTTTATTAAATAGAACAATATTCATGTAGATTTGTCTCTCCATAACAACATCACGATACTCGGAATCACCCCAGCAAGCCTAGTCGGGGCTCCAGGTAGAACTCGAGACCCAACTACCTTAATTTTTAATTAATGCGTGTGGGCAACAAGTCTACACTGATATTTCATATAAGTATCAAAAACGGATTACTGACATAATCTCCGCGACAAAATTTCCGGAGACAAAATATCATAAAATATCACGAAATAACCCAAAATAACCCATAATAACCTAAAATAATCCAGTAAAGTAATGAAGTTATATTTATAGATACCTAAAAAACATAAAAAAAATTTTTAAAAATGCGGTGGAGATTTTGTCGCCAGAGATTTTTTCGGGATCCCATCAAAAAAACTATAAATGGCGCGTGAAATTTTCTTATAACTATTCTAATATAAGTTTGTAAGTTTGAACAGGCTAAAACTTAAAAGCGACACGCTAGATGTCGCTTGATAATTGCGCAGTAGCAGACACTACTGAGAATTTGCATATGAGAGTCGGAAAGGTGTATTACAATAAGCGACACATGAAGAGAGATAGGTGTATTGTGTAATTTGCATAGCGCTTGCCATTAAAAGATTTAATTAACAAAAGCTGTACTTCTTGTTGATTCAGGTAAACCTGTATCTATGTATAATTATTAATTATTGTTTTATATCAATTCAATGTAAATAATGTAAATAAATTCATCAACAGTTTTAACTAGCATCAACAGCAGCCTTCATTTCACGACCTAACCCACAAAAGTTAAAGTCGACTTACAAATCAACAAGAAAAAAATGGCTGAGGTACGAGCCAGATTTTGCTTTGCTTCAGTGGCATTAGACTCTAAAACGACAGGTGTGAAGCTACTCACGATACAATTAGAAAATGATGAAACGGTCTACCAATTTCCTGAAAGCCTGGCAACAAAGGAGAGCCACACAAAACTTTTCGACCTAAGCATCGTGAAAAATGTCTTGAAAGGTTTAAAAACACGAGGAAAATTCCGAAAGGTTTGGATATCACTCACCGGAGATTTAAAGGAAAAATATTTGGATGAAGAAGGTAATGTGTGTTGTGATGGAAACTATATGGATGAGTGTCAAGATTCGGTAGACCCTTGTAACAATCCAATGTATAACCCTCAAAATCAAATTCATGATAAAATAACGACACGAGTGAAAAATATGATTGTCGAAAAATTTTCGGGGAAAAACCAGAACGCGAGTAATTTCATGAATCTTTTCGTGAGTGAATGCACTCGTCAAAATTGTATTGAAGAAAGCTACGCAGAGACATTGAGATATTTTTTGGAGGGAGCAGCTCTTGAGTGGTTCCATAGTTTTTTGAAAACAAATAAAATCACGACCCCGTGGGAACATTGGAAAAATTCCTTTTTAGATACTTTTGACGTAATTGGTTGGTCGGAAATTAAATATGCGTATGAATTTCGACATTTAAAGGGATCGCTTTTAGAGTACGCGCTAAAAAAGAGAAATCTAATCCTAGATACAGATGATAAAATTTCAGAAAACACACAAATAAATCTGATTGTCTTAGGCTTGCCAGCAAAAATTCAATTGCACATAAATAGAAAAGATATAAAATCAGTGGATAACTTAATGTCCCTTTTAAATCAGTTGGAAGGTTTGTTAGAAAAAGAAAAAAATAATAAAACAAAATTCTCAGAAGAAAATAAAGCAGAAAAAAAACCCTGTCCATACTGCACAAAAAAAGGATTCCCAAACAGATATCACCCAGAAGATGCATGCAGACTAAAACTCGCAGATAAAGGAAAAATTAGAAATAACAGCATTAAAGTAATAAATAATACAAACATTGAAGAGAGTATAGCATCCTCAGACGAAGCAAAAAACGGATCGCCACCCCACTTATACGATTAAAAATATGCATAAATGATACGCCAGTAGTGGCAGTATATGATTCTGGAGCTAACGTATCATCTATTAACTATGAGACTGCAAAAAGATTAAAATTAACAAAAAAAATAGGTGGGGTGCATAAAGTTTACACGTTTACAGGTACCACGTATACGTTAGGCGAGATAAGTCTTAAAACAAAAATCTTAAATATTACAAAAACAATGTGTTTTTACATTGTAAAAAGTGATATGTTTCAAGATGATATCCTATTAGGACTAGACGCAATCAGAGAATTTAAACTTTGCCAGTTGGATAACCTAAAAATATTTCAAAATTATAAATATGAAAGTAATCAAAAAGATATTCTGCAAATAGAGCCCTCAAAAACAGAGATATCGATAAAAAGTGGAAGCTCCCTGGAAGAGGTATTAAATAAACATAGAGAGCTGTTCACAGAAGATAAATTCGATGTCGGCAAAGTAAAAGAATACGAGGCTTCAGTGAAATTCATTGAAAATAAATACATTGCGCGTAAGCCATATAAATGCTCTGTGGAGGATAATGAAGAAATCAAATCTCAAATCAAGTCATTATTAAGAGTAGGTTTAATCGAACGCTCCACGAGTCCTTTCGCATCCCCAGTAACTCTTGTTCTAAAGAAGGAAGAGGGAAGAAAGACGAGATTGTGCATAGATTACAGCGAACTCAATAAGATAATTATTCCAGAATGTCACCCATTCCCAATTATAGATGATCTGCTAATTCGAGTACGAAATTGCAAAATTTTCTCAAAATTAGACGTAAACTCAGCCTTCTGGTCAATCCCTATTAGAATAAAAGATAGATACAAAACCGCATTTATTACACAAAATGGGCATTGGCAATGGAAATGTTTACCTTTTGGTTTGAAGTCCAGTCCTGCAATTTTTCAAAGAATTTTAAGTGACGTATTGGCAAAAAGTAATCTGGAAAATTTCACGATGAATTACATCGACGACATTTTAATATTTTCAGAAAATTACGCAGATCATCTAAGTCACATTAGAAAAGTTCTTATCGCCATAGAGAAAGCCGGTTTTAAATTAAACAAAAAAAAATGCACATTTGCCAAAAATTCGGTTATTTATTTAGGACACGAAATAAAAGAGAATGAAGTAAAACCATTGAATGACAACTTAGCCGCAATAAAAAATTTTCCGACACCACAAAACCAAAAAAATGTTAGACAACTTTTAGGTAAAATAAATTTCTATTTAAAATACATACCACAAGCTTCAATAGAGTTAGAACCACTGCACAATTTACTAAGAAAAAACGTAAAATTTGAATGGGATCAAAACTGCGAAAACAGTTTTAGAAAAATAAAAAATTACACAGCTCTACAAAAAAAAAAAAATTTTCAAATCCACCGACCGGACCTAGTGGACTTTATGTTTTTGGGGTCGCTGAATCCGAATCCGGGGTCGGTTTTTCAAGGTTGGCTCATTTTAGAGGTCATTTGAAGGTCAAATAATTGGAAAAGGGTAAAAAATCTGAAAAAATTCATACATGAGTTTTTGAGGATGCCGAATCCAAATCTGAGGTCGGATGACCTTCAGGAGGTCAATTTCAAGGTCATTTGAAGGTCAAACTACAAGAATTCAATGAAAATATCCGAAAAAAATCACCTTTATGTTTTGAGGGTCGCTCATTCTAAATCAGAGGTCATTTTGACTGTATCCGGCCTTGTAAAGGTCATTTGAAGGTCATTTTAG